TGATGTTTTGGGTACAGATAATTTTCTGAAAACTATTACTGTAACTTTACTGATAAATTTACGCTAATATATTATTTTTTCATTAATTTCTGTTTCTTCTTTTTTTTTATTGTTACTGTAATATATAGATAGAACTTAGGCACACTGTATCATGACAGTTGTATAGTTAACTACAAAAAAAAAGAAAGAAAGAAAGAGGAGAAAAGAATGAATAGAGACGGAATGATTCTTAGATTTAGATACTGGTATAAATAAAGGATGTGTCTATAATCAAAAAATTTATTTAGATAAAAATAAAAATTTTAATGCAAAAATTGACAATTATCACTTCTTTTTTTTTTCTTGCTTTTGTTTTATTATCTTGAAAATGTTTTGTTTTATAGCTCATTTAAAAAGTTGTGCTATTCAGTTTTGACAAAGTGATCGACTGTTTACGCTGCATATGTATTTTGTTTGGATCTGTTAAATTAAACTTCACTTTCCTTCCTACCTTTAGAGCAACAGCAGCAACAATTAACAACAGCGGCAGCCGCAGCGGCAGTCATAGTGGCAGTAGCAGTGGCAACGGTCTGACAACAGTCTATCAATTATACTGATGATTTTTTTTGTTTTTTTGTTTTTTTTTTTTGATATTGAACTCACCAACAATATTTGTTCCGCTTTTTTTTTTGTTTCTTTCATGTTTAATAATTGCAACAAAATCTTTTAATTTTAAAGAAACTTTTTTCTTTGTTTTTTTTTTTTTTTATCGTCAACTAGCATCGTGTAATGTTTTAACAACATCAACATCAAAAAAGAAAAAATAACTTCGTCGATTTGTCATAGAATGACGTCAGTTTGTGTTAGTGCTGCTGTTGTTCTGTCATAAGTATGTATAAAAAACTCCAAAATTTAAGTTTTTGATAATAATAATTGGTGATGAACAAACAATGCATTATTGTTACTGTGAGAGCGGTTCTAGGGGGGTGGAAGTGGAGGAACGGGATGATTAGGATGAGGAGGGAAAAGAGAAAAAAGAAGGAGAGTAGAGGGTTGATAATGGTGATAAAGCAAAAAGTGTTTCTGGGCGTGAAGAACTGCGAAGAGAAACTTTTAAAGGCCTCGCAGTTAAAAGAATGATCCATAACCACTTCAGAACGGTTGATGCTAAGTGTGAATGGATGTTGGAAAAGTTTATTGTTTGCTGGTGAATTGCTACAATAAGTTGCGAAAAAAAGTCTAATTTTTATTTTTTTCGTAATACAATCTTTGTTTATCAAACAACAGATGAGGCACCTATTTCTATCCTTTTTTTCAAAGTTTTTTTTTGAACAGTTCTAATTTTTTTCGCTGAGACTACTCTGTTTTTCGTTTATTTTTTTCTGTTTAACAACTATTCTGACAGAGTGTTTAAAAACACCGAAATGGTAAAAGGAAAACATTGTGCTGTTGCTTAGTCGTGTAAAATTTTTCAATTCTTTAAAGCTTTTTGTATTTCTTTGATTAAAAGAACTTCCCAATTTTTAGTACTGTTTTTTGGCCATATATGCCAATTCTTTCAGTGCTGTTTTGAACCTATTAAAGTAGAACGAAAAACAGTGAATAAACAAAAAAACAATTTTTTGCTTTTCCATATTGTTATAAGTTCAAGATGATTGTTCCGTAAGTGCAAAGTCATAATACGCTTTTATTTTTCGAAACTTTACTGTTATCGAGCAGTCCTTTGCAGATCCGTTTGGCGAAATTGCACATCACCGAAATTTTCTTTTGAGACATGAGTCAAAAGGGAGAAGGAAAAAAGAATGGGTAATTTGGGTCTCGCGGGGTCACAACATTACGTTATGTATGCTTGGAAGGGAAGCAGTCATTGTATTGGTACTGTTGTTGCTGATGTTGATGATAGTGAAAGTGATGGTGCTGATTGTGATGGTGATAATAGTGGCGGTTGAAGTATTTATAAAACAGATGACAGTTCAGTGTGCTAAAGTCTGGCTGATAATTAGCACCTAATTTATTGTTAAAAATTTTACTCATATGGTGTTACTATAACCGATGTCAACAATGAATCAAGAAAGTTATGTCTGTTTTTGTTTGCTCTACTCTTTCCTGTTAGGTTCACTTTAATGAATCGTGCCACATATTTATATATATGCGTTCGTTTTATTCAGTTTCAACCGTTTTGTTTCAGAAGTTTTAAACTGTTGGGCGGAGTTTGTTGATGGATTCACTGGGGACAGTTCAGCAAGAATGTTCAAACTTTATTCATTCGCACACTTCAATGAGCAGGTGGAGCAGTTAAAATTTTTCTTCTACAAATAGAAACAAATACTAGAAGTTTCGGTACATCAAATGTTTGATTCTTTGTTTCTTAGACTATCATTAATGAACTGTTGGCAGCGGTGTTCCGTTCGATTGATTTCTATTCTTTTCTTTGTCTTTTTTCCTTGCTCAAAAGTTTTCCTTCTCAAAGATCAAAATTTTAGTAAACAGTACAGACGAATAAAGCAAATTTGTAGCTTCTTTTGTTGCAGTGTATTTTTGCTAACAAAAAACTTGACAAATGAAGATTTATTGCGTTGCAGCTTTAAAATTCATTTAAAAAAACGGTGCTTATCAATTTTTGTTTCATACTTCTTACTTGTTACTCTGAAAAGAAAAGCTCTGGGTATCAAAATTAATCTATTACTTTTAAAAGGTAGAGAAGAAAAAAAGAAAAAAAGTTTTCATGAGTAATATGGTTATGATGTGTTCTGTTTGGTGAAAAAAAATTTTTTTGCTTTTTTTTACGTAAGCAAAAGGTAATTTTGCTAGAGACAAGCAGATAGATGTCAAATAATTTCAGATTTTTTTAAAGAGACTATTTGAAAAATCTTTTTTTTTTAAAGTAACGTCAAAGGTCAATCGCAATTTTTTTGGGAAAGTTAATTGAGAAGGCTTTATGACCAGTGAGGAATGTTTTCACCGTAGCAGCACGCGAAAGGTGTATTGAAAAAGGTGGTTCAAAAGGCCCAAATATCAATCGAACTTTAGCTGTTTTCATTTTTATCTTTTTCTTTTTATTTTTTCTTCTAGAGACTATAGTGAGTACGTAGTTAATGATAAATGCATTTTGTTTTCTTTCATAGATCATTGTGCTAAGTGTTTGGTTTACAAGATTTTATTTGTTGTTGAAAAGAATTTGCTGACGGCCAGGACAAACTGGCAGTGGATGAGCTTGTCTACTGAACAGGTAGTTAGATTAACCAATCTTGATGTGTGTTATCGGTGAAATCGAAGATAAGGATTACAAGTGAAAAGAGGTAGAAAAATAGGAAAATTATGCGAGATAAAGGGGCGAAACTTATTTTTTTGTTGCTGTTTATGTTGTTAATGAAATTAAAAATGAAAAACAATATCGCTGGTTTTTGCTACTTGATTTTTGATATGTTTTTAGGCTGTCATATTTCAAGGGTCATCGATCATTCGTTGTGAATGCTTGGAAAATGCGGATAAATTTTTTACTTCTTGTTGAAAAATAATGACTTTTCAAAATTGCGGTTTAGGCTTCGTGTCAGTGAAATTTTGGTGCTATCATCAGCTGTAGACGCATGAGCATTGTGTGATTTTTGGGTGTGCCGGATTTTTCCGCCTTTCATTCCAAACATTTCAACATTTGGTTGAACATAACAGCCAAAGAAACCGGATAACGCCATTGAGAAGACTAGACTACTATTACTCAGTGGTTTATTGTACGCAGTCTATTGATCTGATAGTAAAGGTCTAGACCTCGGCTATCTTGGCAGTATGTAAAACTGGGTACACAGAATTAAGGCTTTTCACGATGATCTTTTATTCCATGCTGTAATTTGGCTGGAATAATAATTTTTAAACAACCAGAATGCGTCGAAAGCCATGTGAAACCGTTATCTGTTAAGTTTTTGCAAAAATGAAGTCTGGTAAGAAAGTTGGATTCTCTTCTAACGTCTTCTTTTTTAAACTGTGTATTATTACTATGTTATCAAACATAAAAATCTTTTGTACAATTGAATTTGAAAAAAAAAAGTTGCTGTTTGTTGAAAAAGTGGGTAAATACTTAAGTGAAATACGGCGAGTTGAGGAGGGGAGAAGGGAGAAAGAAGGTTGTCTTAAAATAGATTAAATTAAGAAGTAAAAAAAGGAGAAAGTTTTCTCGAACACATACAGTTTTTGTTTGAGAGGAAATTTTTTTTTTTGACACATTTATTCAACCGACGATTTGTCGCTGTTGTTAAAACTTTTAAATGTTTGGCCAATGATTTATGATTATCTTTTTTTTTTATCTAATTTTTTTTTGCCTTTCTTTTTCTTTATATCTGCCTTGTTGGTAGATAAGAAGAAGTTGAAGATCACTGAAAGCCGGACAACAGTTTTCGATTTAAATCCAATCCAAACAGCTGCTAATTTCAGTTTTTGAACGCATAAAAACTTCCATTGTCTTTTCCTGCTGCTGCTTTCCGTTTACAAATGGCCACCGGCGGCAGCACCACTACTACCACCATTGCCATCATCATTGCCATCGGCACCGATAACAACAACAACAGCAACAGCAATCATGATACCGATCGTCGGTTTACTGCTTGTTGTATTAGCCACCGCTGGACTCTCGGCTACCTAATATCGTAAAGGAAGAAGGTAGAAAGGCGGTAGATAACTGAAGTATATAGGATAGTGGCAGGAAGGGAGGACGATAACCACCGCTTAGATATGAGACATCGCAGTGACTGTTTTGGAGCTTGTTTAATCGACTTTTTTCAATAGGTATCGGTCGGTATTCTGGGTGTTTTGTACGCGTCTAGCCGAATTACTAGCGATTCTGATGATGAAAACGGACAACTTAAGGCACTTTATTTGTCCCCATCTTCCTCCACAGAAGTCATTGTCTATTGCCCTTTTGCGGCCAGTGCGACCGACTGTTTTCAGTCGGTATTGGTCGATATTTTGGGTGTTTTGCGCAGATCTAGTCAAAAATGCTTAGGGATTCTGATGATGAAAACCGATAACTTAGGGCACTTTATATTGTGCTCCCTGTTCCCCGCAAGTGTCATCATCTATTGCCCTTTCACACATTTATTTTTCCGTTTTTCCGTTATTTCATTTTTTTTTTCTAATTTTCATTTTTAATTTATTGCGTTCGGTTTCTGCAAGAAGAAAAGAAAAATTTTTTTATTTTCTTTAATGGTAAAGAAAAAAGTTAAAAAGAATTTTTTGAAGGCTCTGTCGTTGCGAAAAAAGTGAAAATGAGTTGTAAGAACAAAAAGGAGTTGTATACTTTTTTCTTCTAAGATGTTATTTTCTTTGTACATTTCTGGTTTTAAAAGAGAAATAAACTTTTTTGTCAGTTTCAACACCAACATATTTTTGGACAGTCAATTTGGTTGGTCACTATCAATGTGGTTATTAAAATCATAATTTTCTTCTTATTTACTCTTTTTTTTTTAAAATGTTTTTTTAGAAGTTTTCATAAGTTTGGTAAATATACCGCTTCTACGTAGTTATCACAGTTGTCATTTGTCATAATTTATAACTTTTTTTTCGCTTTTTTTTTTGAGTTTAACTAGCTGATATTTGTAGGACGTTCTTCAGGTTTCAGTGATGCTCTTGTTGTAACAGGAATTTTAATAATGTTTAGCTGCTGTTGCTGAAGGTTCTCTGGTTGTACAAATGATGGTTTTTCTAGTGCAAATGATTGTCAAGTGCAATGGTTTTTGGTTTTAGTTTATGTTGGCTACATTTTGGGAGAGATCAGTTTTGTGGCGCATGCTAATAGTTGTGCATCTAGTTGGTTGCTTAGTTGAAACATTGAACAGTGTTCTAGAAATACACAACTGAAACTGAAAAAAAAAAAGAGATGTCAAAGTTAAGTGTATATCACGGCATGTCAGTGTTGACGGATGAACGAAGGTGTTAATTATGTTCTAAATATGGTGTAGATGATATATTGTCAGCTGATTTTGATGAATGGACAGCTACAGTATCTATATAATAATTTAATAAGAGTTCTTTGTTATTAACGTTGCTTGTTACTTTGCTGTTCTGATCGTTGAAAGAAATGTTCAAAGAAGTAGGTTCTTTTCTTTTCTTTTTTTTTTTTTGCTTTTATATCTAATTTTTGTTTTGTTTTTGTTTTTTTTCTTGTTTTTAATTCTGAATCCAAGAAGAAACTAGAGAGTGAAAAAATTAACAGGCAACAGGGTGCAGTGAACGATAAGCATTATAATGCATCTTGTTCAGTTTTTGTTTCCTTTACGTTGTAACATGACACTTTGTTGATAGGACGGTAAATCCTTTGTAATTTTCATGATTGTCAGATAGCAACTAAACACACACACAAAAAAAAAAGAAAAAAGGAAAAAAAAAGAACAGAAAAAAAAAAACAAAACAAATCGTTACTATATTATTTTATTGTTGCTGAGGCAGAAGATTGCTGAAAATTTTTCTATTTACTCGTTTTTCGTTTTCCTCCCCTCCTTTTTTTCTCTTTTTCATTTAATTCAGTTTCCGTTAACTGTGATAGCTGTTTAATTATGATCAAATCACACTAATATTTGGTAAAATTTGTCTGGTAAAAACGAAGTGACAAAAAAAACAGATATGAAAAGAAAAGTGATCTGGGTTTAAAATTTTTTTGCAGGAATAATGCTTACATTTGTTTTTTCTTTTTTTTTTTCTGAAAAAGATGGAGACGAGGGAAAGAGGGAAATAGAGGGGAAGGGAGAACAGGAAGCAGAAAATGTTTAAATTTTTTTTGTTTTCGGTTTTTATCGTTGTATTGTTGAAAATCAATGACGGATGATGTAAACGAGATGCTGTTAAATTTTTAGAAAAAAGTTATATCAGGTGTAATATGTTGTGCACAATTTGTAATTGGAAAGCATCAAATACTGTTACCCCGTCAGTAATTTATTGCCGTCTCTCTCGTCCTTTTTTTTCCGCTTCTATCACCAACATAAAATGTGTTCGTTTAATGGTGTCAAATGCAAGAATTATCACTATTTGAATTACAGCAACAACAGCATTGGCAGACTACACTTAGTCTACTGCTCTGTATTTTTCCCCGGTTAAAACTGAATTTTTTGTCATCCGGGTGAAATATCAGTGAGTTTATTGGTTAAGTTATTTATTCAAGACTTCTAATTGTTTAATTAAGCTATAAATTTACTAAAAATAGTGCTTCTCAGTTGGTGTGAATCCTTAAACAAAAAATGACTGCTAGACTGTTCCAAATAAGTCTGCGGAGAGTGCAATAAACATTTAAAATTGAGTATGAATAAGAGGAAGAAAAAAGGAAACAAAAACGGTTG